GTCATATTCAATTTTAATTGGAAATTGTACACCATGGAAATATCCAGGATCTCTCATTTTCTTCCCCTTTAGTTGTTTGCATATGAGTAATGCCTCTAGACAGTACTGCTGGCTCTGCATCTGCTCTGTAGAGCTACTGGGTGCTATTGGATGTTTTAGGTAAAGAGTGAGACAACTACCCATTGTGCATGTTGGGTCATATTAGACTCACTGTGTGCCATTCAGTGTGCTACTCAAGGATGAACCAATTGACCCACTGTGTGCTCCAGTTGTGCATTTGGGTAATGATAGTCAACTAGGTCACTCATGAATGTAATTCTAGGATGCCAAGCCAAGCCCTGGGATACACACACATTCCATTACACTTGGCTTTTTATTTTTATATAGATTCTGGAGATGAATGGGTCCTCATACTTGCAAGGTAAGGACTTTATCAATTGAGCCTCTTCTAACTCCTGGCTCTACCTTTCCTTAATGCTTCATATGCCAGGATGTGGTCATGTGGTCACCCCACAAAGCTCCTATGCAACATTTAGAAGGAAGAAGTTTCTGAATGGTTGTGTCTCTGCCATGCTGGGGAAGCCCTGTTTCCTCTGGGTATCAGGTCTATAGCTGAAACACAGAAGTTCTGATCTATGAGATCTACAAGGATGTCTGTCTGCTCTAAGAGCCTGTTAGTGTCTTCCTTCAACATTATTGAACTAAACAAGGGTACTGTTCAAAGCTGATCGGGTTCATCTCTTGTTCTTGGCCTGGCTCCCCAGTGTCTTTCATTGTGGGGATAGAGTCATCCCTTCACATTTTAGTCTGCTCAACATGCTAACAAGAGCATTAGCACCTCCTCACCTCTCTGGAAACACTGTCCAGACCTACCCCTCCCCTGCAGTCTTCAGAGAGGCCAAATCTGAACTTGTTTCATCAAGGCCAAATGTCAATCATAAGAAGAAATCTATATGAAATTTAATTGCAGGATGTACTGAGTAAATTTAATGAGAGAAATAAGAGATGGGAGAATTCCCCTGTTCTCAGTGCATGCATAATGCTGACTTAAATGGACTCTCTGGGGGTGCAAGGGAATCGCAGTCCTGAAATTTACACACTGAGAGAGCACATCGAGTGGACCCCGGAAGGTGAAGGTCATAAATCAGAATCGTTTAACCGGCTTTGAATGATTGCTCCAACTTGAATGGAGAGGAGAGCTGGCTGCGGCCCCAGCCGTCACTGTGACTCCAATTGCCGAAATGCCACTCAGTATTCATAAATCAGCGGTCATTAGCCCTCTGAATACTACCTGTCGGCTTCCTAAACACATTTCCAACCTGCTAATGGAGATTTGATGGGCAGCCGCTCTCAAGGAAAACAAATGGCAGCATCACTCTGACAGACCTGGAAATGTGTCTTTTTGGAACCCCGAGTCACTCTGGGGTGAAGCTGCCTCTGCAGAAATCAGTCTTTGCATGAAAAGATTATTATTACTCCCTCCCGACACTTGTCATTCCCATAGACGGCAGCTTTGATGTTTCTGTCTCAATTGTGGGAATTCCGCAGAAGATCAGACCCAAAGAGTCGAAAGCTTCGATGCAATTGCCAGTTCATCCCTGTTTACCCATGGTAATTGGAAAATAAGTGCATGGCCCAGCAAAAGGCCACAGCATTTACTGGATTGCAGGGGAGAAAGTCAGGAGCATGGAGTCGAGGGAAAGACATTGTAATGGGAGCGTCTGTCACTTTGGTAACAAATTTGGGGACGAAATGGAGAAATGGAAATGAGAGCATGAACTCAGAGGGACATGAAACCAGAAAGCGATTTCATTACTGTAGATCCTGGAGTCTGTGTTCATTTTCTCTGTATCTTGTCTCTGGGCCGGATTCATAAATTATATATAATGGTGACCAGGCTTGTGGGGAAGAGCGTCACATTGTCTCGAGTAATAGGTACCACTCCACAGCACTGCATTTTAAATCTGTCTTAAGTGAGATTGGTTATGTGGATGTTGGGAGATGGGCTGGGACATTTATCTCATGCTTGCTTCTGCCTTGAAAAAAAAAAGGACCAAAGGAAGGAAAAGCCAAAGGAACACTGTTTCCACATCTAATCTTTCACCTCAAATTGATTAGTCAATGAGAATAGAAAGCGTTTTACTTTGTTTTTAAAATATTTATCCTATTGATTAAAAAAATTGTGTATTTGTGTGGGTGTGTGCACATATGTGTGGGTGCCTGGGGAGGTCAGAAGAGGGTGTAGGATTCCGGAGAGCTAGAGTTACAAGTGGTTATGTGTCGCCTGATGTGGGTGCTAGGAACTGAACTCAGAACTGAGAAGAAGGTGCTTTTAACTGCTGAGATATCTCCCCAGGCCCTTCAAAACACTTTAGATGCAAAATCCTCCTGTGTTCTACACAGACGAGGAAGCAGGGACAGAGAGGGGGAAGGGTTTACCTTGGATGCTCAGAACTCTTGATCTGGAATCCGGATGAATTTCCATGCAAAGGAGTAACAGATGAACAATCAATCAAACAACACAAACGTACATACATTCTGGAACTGGGGATGTGGCTCAGTGGGTAGAGTGTCTAGCACACAAGAGTCGGTGGGTTTGACCCCCCCCCAGCACTGCATAAACTGGGCTTAGTGATGTGTGTCTTCCATCCCAGCATGACATTCTGTCTCCAAAACAAAGAAAGACAGTGAGCTGGCAAGATGGGTGAGTAAAAGCTCTTGTTGCCAAGCTGATGACCTGGGTTTGATCCACCCAAAACCATGTGCACGGGTGGAGTGTGAGCACTCACTCACATGAGCATGCAGACATGCACATATGTGCACATAGACACACACACACACACACACACACACACACACACACCATAATAAATAAATGAAAAAAACTTTTCTACCCGGTTTTGTTTGTCACATCACACTATTAGATCTCAAAGCTTCAGCCTTGGCTCTACGCAGCTGATTCTAGAACACTCTTCCCTGCCCTTGTTCCCAGTGAGCTTCCTCTGCCTTCCCTGTGGCGGAGCCATGGACTGACTGGCTGATGCTCCCCATAGCCTTCTGCAGAAATGCGCTAGCACATGTATTTGCATTTATTTATTGCACAATGCTCATGAGCACACATCTCAAATTCTCGAGGCAGGCTTGACTGACATCTGTGATTTCCCAACTTCACAGCAGCCCTGAGAGATTGGGACGCTTCATTTCATGTCCTCAGTGGGAATCATGGTGTGGCTAAGATCTGGTGACTGAGCACACTTTCCTTTAGCAGAAGCTGAGAAAATGAGAAAAACCAAAGGAGTCCTTTGTTGCTGCTGTGGAATGGCAGCGGGAAAGGGCACCATTATTAGTTCCGTAAGAAACCTGTTGAACTGTACAGGAGCAACAGAAATGAGCTTGAGAAGTGATGAACGAAGAGAGAGAGTGTCATGGTTTGAATGTTAGATGTAACCCATAGGCTCATGTGTTCGAATACTTGGTCCCCAGCAGGTGATAGTGGTATGTGTGTGTGTGTGCCTGTGAGTACAGGTGTGTGCATATGCATGCATGTTATGACACTTTTTCTGGGGGAGAGACAGCACACACACACACACACACACACTCATACACACACATACACACACATACACACTCACACACGGACTTGTCTTCTACTCATCCCAGACAGGCAACCCAAGACAGACCAAAGTAACACCCTCGAGAAAGTCTGATATGTATTTATGTATTGGGGTTGCTAACAGAAGTGTGTATGAGGGGTTACTTACAGGAGAAGGGATGGCTTAGAGGCAGCATCATCATCGAAAACCTTACTCCACCCGGCATGAATGGGAACTCATGAAAGCTGTGTCCCTTGAGCTCTCTTCATGGTTTGACAGGCTTGAGATTTCTCTTGACATTCCATTCCTATTCATCACAACTGGGATTACAAGCTCCTGCTATCACCCCCAGCTTCCTACATGTGTTCTGTGATTCTAAACTCAGAACTCTACAAACCAAGTCGTCTTTCCTGCAGGTAGCATAGTTTGGAGCAAGTTATAGAATCTTGAGAGGTGGTGCCTTACTGGAGAAAGCGGTTACTAGGGGTCTGTTGCTGGATTTTCTTGTCCCTCCAGGCCCCTGCCGCCCTTCTCAGCCCCAAATAAACCCACAGACGCTATATTAATCATGAAACTGTTGGCCAATGGCTAGGGCTTCTTATTGGCTCGCTCTGTCTTAACTATTAACCCATTTCTATCAAGCTATGTATTCCTCTGAGGCTGTGGCTTACCTGGTAACGGCCCGGCATGCTGTTACTCCTTTGACAGCATGGCGGCTCTGTGCTGGGCTTCCTTTCCCAGAATTCTCCTTGTTTCCTAGTCCCGCCTAACTTCCTGCCTCATATTCGCCAAACAGTGTTTTATTCATCAACCGATAAGAGAAACACATATACAGAAGGACGTCCCCCATCAGGGGTGAGATTTAGTAACAGCTCATCTCTAGTTTCACTTGGCTTCTTTGCTTTCTGACTAAGGATACCGTGTGGCCAGCTGGCTCATGCCATTTCCACCACCCACCATGATGGATTGAACCCGCCAAACTGTGAGCCAGAACACCCCTTCCTGAAGCTGTTTCTTGTCAGGTACTTGGTCACAACAGCCAGGAAAGTGATGGACACAGAGCATGCGTGACACGTAGTAGACAGTGGGTCATCTCAGAGGTGCCAGGACTGGCTCTGAGTGGGATAAAGGGTCGTATCTGTGACGTTCTTGCTCATTTGTAAAAGGGAGATTCCTCAGGCTTCACACGTGAGGGTCAAGCTGACATTGACTTTCTTTTATTTATTTATTTATTTATTTATTTATTTTTGGTTTTTACGAGACAGGGTTTCTCTGTATTGTTTTGGAGGCTGTCGGTCCAGCCCAGCCTCGAACTCACAGAGATCCGCCTACCTCTGCCTCCCGAGTGCTGGGATTAAAGGTGTGCGCCACCACCGCCCGGCTGACATTGACTTTCTTGTTTTCAGCTCTGTTTCATGAAACCTGTGTTGAGTTGATGCTGTTGCCTCTCCGGTGATGACATTGTCTGAGTAAAGCAGAGGAATACTGGAGAGAGGTTGGGTCCTTTGGAAGGTGGGTTCTGAGACCCTGGGAGGCAATAGTTTTTTTCAGGAAGAAGTAGAAAAATTACAGAGGGTGTTTCTTTTAGCTGTTTTGTCACAGAAATGAGAAAAGGTGAATAATACTGGGTCTGAGGCATAACCACACTTCTCGACTGCTTTTAAATTTATGTATGTCATGTATGAAAGACTGGGTTTCATTTTGACATTTCTATAGTGGATATAATGTATTTTGATGATTGTCACTCTATTATTATTGTTGTTGCTATTATTTTGAAACAGAGCCTCACTGTGTAACCTTGATTAGCCAATTCACTACGAAGTTCTGTCTGGTCTGGAACTCACTGTGTAGACCAGGCTAGCCTTAAACTGTCTCTTCCTCCCAAGTGCAGGGATTAGAGGTATGTGACATATTTTTATAATTAGTTAATTGTTATTATTTGAGTGTGTGTGCGTGTGTTTGTGTGTGTGTGTGTGCGTGCACGTGCCCTTATGTGAGCATGTTGAGGCCAGAAGAGGGCACTGAGTCCCCTGGAACTGGAGGTGCAGGCAGTGAGATGTGGGAGCTGGGAACCAAACTTGGGTCCTTTGTAAGAGCCACAAGTGCTCTTCACTGCTGAGCCAGCTCTCCAGGCTCCACAGCTCACTGTCTCCTATCCCCCTTGAGGTGAGAGCTGTTTTCACTAACCAGACATTCTCACCCATCCTTCTTACAAATCATTCATTAATTCTATTAGTGTTTACTAATCTCTTACTGTATAGACTATATACCATGGGGCATGAAGACTACAGCAGTGAGTAAGAAGATGAAAGACCAGATACAGAGACCCACAGCCAAACATTAAGCTGAGCTCAGGGAACCCTGCTGAAGAGAGGGAGGAAGGATTGTAGGAGCCAGAGTGGTCAAGGACACCACAAGAAAACCATGAGGAACTCAGTGTCTGAACTAACAACCAGGGACCAACCTAGGCCCTCTCTCTATATGTGATAGTTATGTAGGGTGGTATACTTGTGGGACTCTTAACATTGGGAGCAAGGACTGTTCCTAATGCTTTGGCTGGCTCTTGGGACCCTACTCCTCATACTGGATTGCCTTGGCCACCCTAATTACAAACAGAGGTGCTTAGCCTTATTGCAATTTGATGTGCCATGTTTTGTTGATATCCATGATATCCATCCTGCCTGTTTCTGAACAAAAACAGAAGAGGAGAGGATTGGGGGTGTGTGTGGGAGGGGAGTCAAGGGGAAGGAAAGGGAAGAGAGGAGGGAGGGGAAACTGCTGATAGGATGTAAAATAAATAAATAAATAAACAAGAAGCTGTTGGCCATAGAGAGAGGGAGTGAAAAAAATAGGCGCTGGCTTCTGTACGCGTAATTAATTGGTTGGCTCATAAAGGGTTAAGGGAGAAGGGAGTGCTCAGAAGGCTGGGCAGGGAGATTCTTATGGGATGTTCTGTGGCTTCTCTGAAACCTTCTGTCTCCAGCACTGGCACTGCAAGTGTAGACACCATGCCTGCCTTTCAAGAGTGTGTTCTGCAGACTGATCTCAGTGACCATGCTTGCACGGCTTGTGCTTGCCCTACAAGCAGTCTCTCAGACCTGTCAGAGAGAAATTACAAGTGTGTGTGTGTGGTATGTATGTGTGTGTGGTATGTATGTGCATATGTGTGTGTGTGTGTGTGGTATGTATGTGTGTGTGCTATATATGTATGTGTATGTGTGTGTGGTATGTGTGTGTGTGGTGTGTGTGTATGTGTGTGTCTGGTATGTATGTATGTGTGTGTGGTATGCATGTGTGTACATGTGTGTGTGGTATGTATGTGCGTATGTGTGTGTGATGTGTATGTGTGTGGTGTGTGTATGTATGTGTGCATGGTGTGTGTATGGGTGTGGTATGTATGTGTGTGTGCTATATATGTATGTGTATGTGTGTGTGGTATGTGTGTATGTGTGTGTATATGTGTATGTGTGTGGTGTGTGTGTGTGCATGCATGTGTGTGTGTGTGTGTGCGTGCATGTGTGTGTGGTGTGTCTGTGTGAGGTACCCAGGTGCATGGCCTTTGGAGGCCAGAAGAGGATGTCAGATCCCCTGAAGCTGAAGTTAGGGATAGTTGTGAATTAATGTGGGTGCTGCGATCTGAACAGCAATCTCCAGAAAGAGCAGTAAACACTCTTAACCACTGAACTCTCTCTGCAGCTCCTGTGATTAAGGGGGAAAATATCAATGAAATGGGGAACCATGAGCTGAGCTGATTCCTGCCTCCGTCTATACTTCCTGGTCCACTGTGGCGCGAACAAGCTCTGCCACGCACTCACACTGCCTCGGCCGAAGCTGCCTTTACCTCTCCTCTAAAATTCTCTGAAGCCATGAGCCCAGTGAATCCTTCCTTAGCCGGCTCCTGCCAGGTGTTTGGTCGCAGCCTCGAGCTTCTTGTCTGAGCGATGAACTGCATTTCTTTACACTGCATTGGAAAGCGTGCACCTGCTTCTCTTATTTAAAGGGAAATGGAATCCTGGAAGATGAACCCGCTCGTCTCCTTGGAAACCAAAAGAAGATGAAACTTTGGATTTTTCTTTTTCTCCTGCTTTGAGATAATACATAAATGTGGGTAACCTCTTCTAAATTTCAACACCCTTTCCTTACTTCTCGCGATGGCAAAAGGCAAAGATCTATGCCCCAAACTCTTGTATCTATAATATGAAAAATGCTCTAGTATATTTGCTTCCGCCAGAAACATATTACCACATTTATTTTCAATTTCAAAGAGTGACTGGAGTTGGGACTTTCTGAGAGTCACTAACACAATTTGGTTAGAATGAGGTGCAGGTGTGTGCCTGTGTGTGTGCGTGCACGGGCCTGTGCAGAATTCAGGCTCGGATGCATTTTTTCTCTCTTTGGCCCCGACGAAGGCTGTACTAACTTGTACTACACAGCTCACTCTGGGGATCTGACTCCCTGTAAAGCTGCCGTGTCTTGGCTCCAGAGCCCCTGAACGTTCCGGCACACCTTTCTGTGGCCCAAGCGACAGTGCCCACCACTCTGTCTCCTTTCGTCATTTCCTGTCACCCTAGGTCTGCTCTTACACGTCTCTCAGCCCCCGTCGGACCATTTCAGGTCCTCACTCTGAATCCTCAAATCTCCAACATATTCTGCTTCCCAACGAGGGCCAGGGGTCCTTCTTTTTCTGTTGCTGTGATAAAACACCCCAACAAAAGCAACGCAAGGGAGAAATGGTTTATTTTGGCTCACAGTTCAAGGGTATGCTTCATCCTGGCCAAAAAAAAAAAAAAAAAAAAAGTCCAGGCAGCCGGACCTTGAAGCAGCTGTTCATGTCACATCCATAATCAGGATGCAGAGGGGGGGGGTGCATGCTGCTCTTTTGTTCTCTGTCTGTCTGTCTGTCTGTCTGTCTGTCTGCCTGTCTGCCTGTCTGTCTGTCTGTCTGTGTCTCTCTGTCTCTGTCTGTGTCTCACTTCCATAGTCCAGCCAGGGAATGGTGTCACTAACGCACAGTTTGAAGGTCGTCCCACTTCAGTTAATGTGCTGAAGATAACCCCTAAGGTGCATGCCCAGGGGTTTGTCTCCCAGATGGTTCTAGACCCTGTCAAGTTGATGGTTCACACCAAGAATCACAGCCCTCTTCCCACATCTGCTTGTGGAATCTTTGCCTGGTTTATATTGCTGTCTCACTAACACTGGGGCTGGATTAGACAATTAGGACTATGCGTGTTGTATAGCTCTCTCCTCCCAATTGAAACGTTCCTGCCTGGATTGAGGGACCTTAAGGCTCAGAAATAAGATGCAACTTACAAGTCTCAAAAAGCACTGGAAACTTGCAGGCTTTTCAAGGTTTCTCCCTGAGGTCGTATAACCAGTTACAATTGCTAGCGAGCTGCTCTCATCATCAGAACTGCCTGAAAGTCATTTGGGGAGCTCCAGGGATGTGGTTTTTGTGCTTTGATGAACTTTTCAGAGATACAGCTTTCTTTAAGTAACTAAGCCCAAAAAACTCATGGGTTCTCCTAGCTCGAGTTCTGTGGAATAGTCCTTTGGCTGGTCACTGGTGTTGTAACTAGAGTGAGTGGATGCTTGCTTATATTGCTGCGGGAAAAGCTACACAATAATAGGACATTGGCTTCTAGAGCAACAGAGACCAGAGGTCAAGTAAATGGCCTGTGGTCAAACTGGGCTTGAAAGTGAAGTCCTGAGTGGAGAGCATTTATAAGTGGAGAAGGGCTGACATGCTGCCTGGTGGGCAAGATTTCGTATTTATTCCTCTTGCTGCACGGTGCATATGACCCTCAGGCAGGATGGTCCCTGAGGACTAATTAAAGTGTTAATCCCCAGAATGGCATTGGAAGGATGTATTCCAGGATTATAAGGAAAATAGATACTGAGGATCAGGCTATGTCTCCTGAAGAATTTGACAGCAGAATTCCTGCAAGACTCAGCAACTCAGCTCCTAAGTGTATTCCCCAAGTAGCTGAAGACAGATTTTCAAAGCTTTGTCTGTGAAAACTCATTCACAGTGGCATTCATAATGCCAAAGACAAGCCACGGAAACTCCCATCGTCAGTGGAATACAGTGTGGAAATCCTTGCAATAGAATATTACTTCTCAATGAAAAGGAATGAAATACTAACACTTGGCATAATGCGGCTGGACCTTGACATGTTATCTTAAGTTAGAGACACCATATTAAAGAGTCACCTAATAAACTGTTTCTCTATTATGTTGCTTTTGTCAGAGTATTTTTATCATAGTAATAGGAAAAGATAGTTATTAAATATACTATGTCCAATATTTATTTCCTTCTTACTGATTCCCACTATATCTAATGTAAAGCACTCGGTGAAACATCACTTTCATATATTTGTATTATCACACATTATATTGCTTTATTTTATTAGTCTCCTTTCTGCTTTATCATACAAGCGAGTTTCCTATTACACAAATAAGCAAGATTAGAAAATAATAAGCTCTCAGAATTATTTACTAGCTACTTTAAAAAATGTACTCATTTATTTGTTAAATTTTATTTTATAATAAAGTGTGTGTGTATGTGTGTGTGTGTGCATGTGCACACTGAGTGCAGTGCCCACAGTGATCAAGAGAGGGCAGCAGATTCTCTAGAGCTGGAGTTATAGGTGGTTGTGAGCTGCGGGACATGGGCGCTCAGAACTGAACTCAAGTCCTCTGTAAGAACAGTAAGGGCTGTTAAGTGCTGAGCCATCTTTCCAGCCCTGTTAGCTGTTTTGTCTTAGGCAGGTCATTTAAATTCTGAGTCTTACTTTTCACGTCTATAAAATTTGCATAATAATATCTACCTTTGAATTGCGATGTGAAGGAAATCTGAGAATATCTACCAAGCTCTGGATCATATTAGTCATTGGGTAAATGTAGCACCCCCCTTTTTTCCTGGCTCATTCTCTCCCCATCAGGAAATATTCTCATAGCAGACATTCTCTCATTACGCTGTTATATATTACAGCGAACTTAAAGCAATGTCTTTCCCCACCCCCAGATGGATTTGATTTGATTCTCAGTCTGTGGAGTTTCTGTTATAAAAATGAGAGATGTGTTTCTAGAACTTTCCATTTAAGGGATAATTGCAATCTTTTGTCAGTTTGTTGAAACACTGAAGTCAATGGCTAGGAATTTTCTCAGCCTTTAATTTTTTTTTCCACCGCAAAATTACATTAGAAACTTGTGGTTAAGTATTTGTCCACTGCTTCCATAATGGTCCTTGTGGAAACTTGGGTGAAATAAAATCTGAATTAGAAAAGTCATGAGTTGTTAAATATAACAGGATTTCTGTGGAGTCCACAAGGACTTTATTGGTTGAGAGTGATTCAGAAACACTTTATTAGAAGTATTCTAGCTGGTAGTGGTGGCACACACCTGTAACCCTAGCAGGGGATTCAGAGCTTGAGGAAATCCTAGGTTACATAGTGAATTTCAGGCCAGCCTTGTCTCAGGAGACCTTGTCTCAAAAATTCAACCCAACCCAAACTAAATCAGAGAAGACCCATAATAACAAAAAAAGAGATGTAGGTCTTGGGGAAATAGCTCAGTCAGTAAATCATTTACTGTATGAATTCTAGAACCCAGTTTCACCCCCAACTCCAATGTAAAACCTTGGGTATAGTGGCCTTGTCGTCTTAGGGCTGGGGATGGGCAAATTGGAGACAGGAGGATCCCTGGGGTTTGCTGGCCATTGTTAATCACCAAGTCTTGGCTCCCAGTGAGAGATACAAGTAAGTAGAGCAGATGGCTCCTGAGGGGTAACACCCAAGGTTGACTTCTGGCCTCATGAATGCACACAGAAACCACACACACACACACACACACACAGTCACATACACACAGAGTCACACACACAGAGTCACACACATAGCCACACACATGCACAAACATAGAGGCATACACACATGCATACAGACACACAGACACACACATGCACATGAACACAGACACAGACACACATACATGCACACACAGAGACACACAGACACAGACGGAAACATATAGACACAGACACACAGACACATTAGCACACAGACACAGACACACAGACACAGGTATACACATAGACACATTCACACGCACACACACGGATACCACAGACAGACAGACACCCCGAATGGAATGTTCTAGTGGACTGAAGGCTGTTCTTCCCAGGTGTGGGAGTGTGGTCACTTCCCAGTTCAGCCCCAGGCTGCTGAGCAGTGGCCTTCACATCCTCCCCCTCCACAGTGGGTAGTGTGGAAGCCATGGAGATGTCTGATTGCATCCTCAGTACAGGTCATGTGATCCAAACTGTGGGTCCAAAATAGCACATGGGGAAACTCAGCGGACTCCCCCTACATCTCAGCAGAACCCCCTCCCCCACATCTCATTAGAACTATCACCTAACCAACAGTTTGACTGGCTAGAAGCCTATGCCACTTTTAAAAAATGTAACTGTCTTATGCACGTGAGGGTTTGCCTGTGCATATGTCTGTATACCACAGGCACGCCTGGTTGTTGTGGGGGTCATAAGAAGGCATTAGATCCCCTGGAGCTGGAGTTACAGAGAACTATGAACAGCTGGTGGACACTGAGACTCAAACCTCGGTCCTCTCTCAAAGAGCAGCAAGTGTTCTTAGCCACCGAACCATTTTTCTAGCACAATTTCTAGCCCAGCACTTTACTGCTCACTTTGACCAAGTATGGGACAAAGCGCCTGGTTTGAAGCCACCACAGTCCCTCATTGGTGGAAAGGTGTGGGGACTGAAGGGTGAGACTGCTTGCTTTCGCGTGGGCAGGTGAGGTACAGAGACAAAATGAAGTAGGGCGAACCCGTCAAGCCTCACAACCTGTCCTTGGTGACTCTTCCTCCAACCAGCTTGTACTTCCAATGATTCTACAGCTTCCCAACGTAGCTCTTAGCAGCTGGGACCAAGCCCTCAAATGTGGGAGACAGTTCGTGGTCAAACCACCACACGATGGTTTTTAGTGGATCCAACTAAGAGGCTGCCTGGGGAGATGGCTAGTGCCGGAAGTGCTTGCTTACAAGCGTGAGGACCTGAGTTCGAATCCCCAGTACTCACACACAAACACGCAAGTGCATGCCTGTAATCCCAGCACAAGGCAGACTGAGATAGCATTCCTGGATCTTGCTGGTCAGACAGTTTAGATCGGTGGTTCTCAACCTTCCTAATGCTGCAACTCTTTAATACAGGTCCTCCTGTTGCCGTGACCCTCCAGCCATAAAATGATTTTTGGTGCTATTGTTATGAGTCATAATGTAAATATCTGTGTTTTCTGGTGGTCTTAGTCAACCCCCTGTGAAAGGGTTGTTTGACCCCAGAGTTGTCACAGCCTTCCAGGTTGAGAACCATTGTTTTAGATGAATGGTGAACTCTGGGTTTAGAGAGAGAGAGAGAGGGAGAGGGAGAGAGAGAGAGA